GCCATCCAAACTGCAGCGAGAGACAGGGAAAACGTGGTGTTTGTAGAAATAAGTCCTCACCGAGTATTGCAGCGAAGCATAAAGGAAACTCTAGGAGGAGGCACAAAGGTGTTCTCTTCTTTGCAAACTGATTCAGAGTATCAGACACTCTTCACCCTGGTAGGAAACCTGTTCGAACTGGGATACAATCCCAACTGGCAGCACTTTTATAATGGGTATCAAAGCGTTCCAGTGGCCATTCCACGGTATCAATTTGATCGCAAAAAACTCATGGCCCGTCTGAATATCCATCAGCAAGCAAATCAAGGTGTCAGCTCCAGCCATCCTTTGATTTATGGCATGAACAGTGACAACATAGAGTTTGGCTGCCTGCTGTCTCAGGAAACAACATCGTACTTATATGAGCACAAGAACAATGGTGTGGCTTTAGTCCCTGGTGCTTTTTACGTGGAGCTTGGTCTGGCCTCTGTGATCAACAGCTCAAGACCTCGAGTGCCTCTGAGTAACTGCCAGATGAGTATCGGTTTTTCTGCGCCGTGTGTTCTCACACAGAATCCCCAAGTCTTGAGTATCAAACTGAGTCCGCAAAAAGCAGTGACAGCCTTTGAGATCCTCTCTTCCTCCAACGCAGTTTATGCTGCAGGCCACATTGCAAAGGGGCCTGAAGCTGTGGTGGAAGAAAGCACCATCTGCTTCCAAGAGGTCTATCGCAGATGCAAGTCAGTGGTTAGCAGAGAGGAGGTCTATGAAGCACTGTCTCAGATTGGCTTTCAGTATGGTTCCATATTCAGGCAGCTCAGCGACGTGCACTATTGCCAGGAACTAAAGGAAGCTATTACAACCATCAAGGTGAACAAGGAGACTGCCAGAGAGATGCACCAGTACTGCATCCATCCCGTGCTGCTCGACTGTTTTCTGCAGATGACCGCTGTCATGACCTCAAGGACGTTCCAGTCCCGAGCAGGCTTTCCTTCAGGGATAGGCAGCCTGGTGGTGCTCCGACCGCTGGAGGAAGAAATGATGATCTATATGAGAACAAGCAAATCCATTGGGAACTGCCTAGAGGTCTGTGGATGCTTTATGGACAAACACGGCTCTGTTTTGGCTGAACTCAAGCGCGTTGCCATCACTTTCATGAAGCAAGCATCTTCCAGAGACAATGAGTACATGTTTGAAAACAAGTGGAAAGAAGTCTCTGTCTCGCAGACGACTGGATATCTGGGACCTACGCCCAGAGTCCTAGTGCTTGCTGACAAGCTTGGGATAGCCCAGCAGCTCAAAAAATACTTGCATCCTGATTCGAGATACGTTATGTATGAAGACTGGGAAGCCCTTTCGGAAGGGGACACACAGAATAAAATGAGAGCAGAGGTTAAGGATTATGATGAAACTCTGTTCCTGTGGGGAATTCAAAAGTTGAATGAAGACTCCCCAAAGAAGGTGGTGGACCAATTGGCAAAGTGTTGTGAAGCCTATCGCCAAGTTATTGTGGCATTAAGAGAGAAAACGTCCCGCTGTTCAGTCAGAGTTATCACCTACAGAACAACAGAAAGAGATGTGGACCATATTAACTGCGGGTTTGCGTTGCACGGCATGACCAGAACTTGTGCCGCAGAAGTTCCAGAAATCACATTTCAGATTATTGACCTCAGCTCTTCCAGTTCGCTGGACATCTCAGTGCTAGCAGATGTTCTTGTGAAACACACAAGTGTGGACTATCCAGAAGTTCGCATCAGCCAAGGAAGAGCTTATGTAGCTGAAATCAGACGCACACCTTTTGTAGATGCAGATTATGGCCAACCTGTAAAATCTCTCCAGAAGTCAGACACATTCACTTTGTACACTTCTGATCCGTACACAGCAAAGGACTTGTCTGCTGAATTATCCACCAGCACTGCTACTCAGCTTGACAAACAGAGCGTTGAAATTCTAGTGGATAAAATATGTCTTCACTCAGAAGATTATTTTCCCATTAGTGTGTCTAGTCGTAACTTTGGTAACACACTGTATTGGAATTCACAAGCAGTAGACAAACACGGACTTCTAGCTCTGGATTTCAGTGGCATAGTAATAGCAACAGGCAGTGATGTGAAGAAAGTTAAAGTGGGAGATCACGTGGTTTCATGTTATCCAGCTGCTGCATCATCCAGAGTTTGCATTCCAGGCCCAGTTTGTTTCAATGTAAAGAAGTTCCCATGCTTTCAGAACGTCCCCTGTATGTCATACTTTGTCCTTGCATGGGAAATCCTCAATCAGAGGTTACCCAAGGGGAAAAATGGCAGAACATTGGGTATTATTTCAACAGAGACATCGTCAGTTTTGTGCCATGTTCTTTCTGCGGCAGCAGAAGAGATGGGTTGGAGAACAGTTCTTGCGAGGCCTACTCCTGATAAGTTGCAGTATATAAGCATATGCAATGCCCTTGTTGTTCTTCCTCCAGTAAACAAACTGTCTCAGGAGGATCTGGCCCATATGT